AATCACGGTCCCCAACCCAAGGTGTACATACTCGATCGGGAAGACAAGTCCACTCATGATATAAATATTCATACCTGGACTTGGGGGACCACTGTTACGCCCCTATCCGAACCACTTCGGAAAGTCCATTACCACACCATGCGAGGTGTGGAACACTCATCCGAAATGGTTCCGAAGTGACTTCACTAATGGTGATACCACCACATCATGCGAGGTATAGAACACTCATCCGAAGTGATTCCGAAGTGACTTCACGAATGGTGACGATCTGCTACCACACCACGAGGCATAGGCAATCCTACAGGACTGAACGAAGCGCCCTCACCTCTGAATCCGAGGCAAAATGCATGATCTGCCGCCAATTGCAGAATGAGATCTTTGTCAAGATCTTTTCTGCCCCAAGGTTTAAAGTGATTTGGCGTCTCCATAAAACTAGTTGATGTGACATATCAACTTTATGTCAACTCAATTCGGGAGAAGTAATTACTCGCCCACTCTATAGACGCGGCTGATTGACGCCTATGAGCAGACGCCTCATACCGCTCAGGTGTATACACATGTCCCACATCCAACGGTTCTCCTCACCTATAAATACCCAAGGCTTGACAAGAGGCAAAGGTAATGAAACTCTTACTACTTAGCACTCCATATCAAGCAAACATATATATATATTTTTCTCCCCACTATTTTGCACAACCTTGGTACTGTTCCGATCACCTGAGCCTAACTTGATCGTCGGAGTGTATACGGCTGCTGCCACCCCCGCTGTTCTTGACCGTGTGCATTTGATCGTGCGTTGATTGTGCGTAGGGAGGAATACGTGGAGTGGCTATCGGTTGGCCACGTGGAGGGTCCAATTTCCAAGGTCGACAAACATTAAGGCGAACTTCTATAAATCTTACGTGAATAGAATCAGGGTTTCTAATTCTGAACACCATTTGCACTGTTATAGTAGTTTGACACAAAATGAGTGAACTTCAAAAATAAATGAATATATATAATTAAACGAAGAGGAAAAGAGAGAGCATATGATATAAATTATCGTGTTCTAGCGTGATTAATTTACAGCAAAATCATCTTTGTATATTTATATCCACCCATTGGATTGTGTTACAAGTCTTGCCACAATTCTTCATCTTCATCATGCTTCTTCAATATGAAGTTGATTTAAATATGATTGTACAGTTAATCAGATTCAATAATATCACAAAGTAATTACAGGTGAACACGGTTCGGTTTGAATGGTCTGAAACAAATTAAACCAAATCGTTTAAAGATGTTTGAAATTTTTCCAAATCAAATCAAATCAAATCACTTTGATTTTTAAACCAATCCAATCATTTTTCTCAGTTTGGTTCAATTTAAAACCATGATTTAAAAAAGGAAAAATATATATCAAATAAGTTAAATCATCAATATTAGTATAAAATTTCACATTAAAACATAAATTGTATCATTAAAAAAATTACAAATGAAGTTATATAATTATAATCATTATAATGCAACAACACGATATAAATATTTTAAACTCTTAGTCGATACTAATGGTGTCCATCTGTCGTAGTACAGGATTTATTCTCTTCATAAATATGAATATAATATATGAATTCATTGATTATAGTCAAATGATATAATAACTAATTAAAGAAAATGAATAAAAAAAATTCAAATACAATAATATCTAGCTACTGTGACTTTTTGTGAATTATTCAATGCATCTACTTCATCCAAATATTGACGAATTATTTTAAAGGAGCCTGACAATTATTAGAACAAAACAACATAAACTACCAATAAAAACATCTAAAAAATTATCAAAAAATAAAATAATTTGGATAATCTAACTTGAATTTAGGCAAAATTTGAGAAAATCATTAATAGAAGGAAATGAAATGTGCAAGTTTGAATCAAAATCTAGATTTAATTGTCCGCTCAATTGTAATAGAGGATCAATGAATATAGTTTAGCATTAGTTTTTCAACACTTTACCTATGTTGAGGGTTTTCGTTCACAATTTTGATGACTGATGGGTAATTAGATATAATTTAATTAATTAATTGAAATGTAGGATTGTTGAATTGAGTTTAATTGAATTTAATTAATCAAAAAGGCTACAAAGAAGCGTATAAGATACATTATAGCTAATTCAATTCTTTTGAAGTTCAATACTCTTTTATTTGATGGGAATATGCTGAAACTTAAGACATCTAGTTAAAAGTCATTTCATATTCAAAGTTAACTCATCACATCGATGACCATCATTCCATGTCTTACAAACGCAATAAAAACCAACTCACAATAATTTAATGTATGTAGTGCGGATAATATAGACAATAACCTATACCAAATACTTCAACAATGTTATAAATAAAGTTAATGAAAACTTTATTCACTATTAATTAATTATATTAGTACTTAATCACAAATTAACATACCCAAAAAATCATTAATTGAAAATCCCTTCTCGTTTATTTTCTTTTTCAAATATTCAAATGTTTATTTATCATAATGATAAACAAAATGCAGAACAAGTAAAACAAGGAAAAAAAATTAGAGTGCACGCATAAACATGTAAACATCATGAATAAAGCAAATGTATGCACCTAACAACATACTCAATAAGGCAAACAAGTGCTCTTTCCATGAAGAGCAATGTGAGCAATACCGCAATTAATATTATCATTTTACCACCGCAATTAATATTATCATTTTGCCCAGAGAGTTCACTCTTTTTGACCCAAACCTTCTTAGAAGATGGCGTAATTTTAGTCAATTGAGTCATCAAATTAGACAAGTAACTCATTTGATAGTCAAGAATCTAACATAAGTAGTTACATCTTGATTATTGTTCCTAACCATAGATTTATGACATCTAGGTGTAATATGATTTTATTCACTACAATTGTGTCTAGTGTGAATGAATTTAGGAGCAATCATAAGTTTCAAATTTTGAATCTTAGGTTAAGGAAATCTATGTTGTACAAATGATTTCGATCCTCGCACACCTATATTCTTGGTCTTGTTCCTACTCAGGAACTCGCAACATTTAGGTCTTATATGTCATAACTTACCCCAATGGTGACGTGTGGGGATGAGTCTAGGAGTAACTCTAGGTTTCAATTTTTGTACGTTAGGCTTGATCGAGGCGGGTACAAACCTATTTTTAATAGAGGGAGCCGTATGAGAATATGTTTCACTATCACTAAATCTGCTCAAATCCAACCTGTTTTGTTCAAACTTATCATTTTATCAATTTTCTTAAATCTGCTAGAGAATGATTGAAGTTGGACATTTGATTTTTCAATATCATTTATAAGAGTTTTAACCTTAATTTCTAAGAACTCATTTTCAACCCTTAATTTATTCAATCTTTTGGTAGATTCCTCAAGTTTGACTACAAGGATATATTTTTTTAATTCAAGCTTATTCAACTTCTTAAAAACTAATATATTAACCTTATGTAATTTGAGACTCTCCTAATACAACTGATCATAAGCATCATGAATATCATATCATCATCAGATCCTACATCAGAATGTGATTGACTCATCTAGATAATTTTTTGGTCAAAGATTGCAATTAAACTTTGATAACACTTGAAAGTTTCAATTTATCGAATAATTTAGACCCAATGCACGGAACTAAATAATTAAAGGCAACAAGTCACTTATTAATTGGTATCCAAATGATTAAATTTAATCAATTCAACTCAACATAAATATGTCAATCAAGTAATCAATATAGTAAAGTAAATAATGAACACCAAAAATGATCACAAAGGAAAGTCCCCAATTGGATAAAAAACCTCCAGGTAAACTTGCCAGTAAAATTTACTAGAAAATTTAACTTACAATTAGTTTAGACACTATTAAACCTTAGCTTACTTTGGCCACCTAACTCGTAAATCACCGATAAACTCCTTTAGTTTTGCACTCCCACACTTCTTCAAACTTTGAGCTTTTTTATCTCCGCATGGATCCAAAAGAATGATCTCATTCTCGAGCGCCGAAATTCCAAGCGCCTCTTCACAAAACTCTAGTAATCTGAAGGCTAATTGACAAAGTTAGGATTTTGTTTTGGTGTTTTATCAAAGGATCTTTTATGTCTTGATCTATAGGTTGATGTAAGAGATATTGGAATATATTTTTAGCTTTCAAAGCACAAAATTTTGACCTACAACAATGCTCTACCAACTGGAACAATGTATGGGATCAAAAATATGAACCAAGATTTGGGGGGTTAAATCAACAGAATCAATGAAGGATGTTAAGATCTTCAAAGAATGATCTCTATGATCAAAATATTCTTCAATCACAACTTTGGGAGTCTCATATTGTGTATATTTATAATGGGTAGTATTTAGCATAAAAAGAAACTCAAACTTAGCTTGAAAATTGAATTTTACTGTTACTGTTCCTCATAAAATCATGCCGCTTGAATGCTGGCAAGTGGTAGCTGAGTAGCGGTCAGTATTTTCGTTATAACTTTTTCTCTCGATATTCGATATGGGATGATTCAAGTGCGTTAAAAAACTAACCCAAAAGTAATATTTTCAAATTCGAATGATTTCTATGTGAAAAAGGTGTTGCAAATTTTGATTGAGAATTTGGGACAAAACTTTGTGCAATACTTTGACACTCAATTTGACTTCTAATTGCATTCCATTGATCATATGTCATATTCTTGCACATTTTTGACTCCTCCAAAAATTATACTATCAACCTTTAACTATTTTGACTTTAATTGTAACTCCATTACTTTAATTTTGTCTAAAAAATAGCCAATTACAAATAGAGATCTAACACATTCTTTTGACAATTTCTCCAGCAAACTATTGGAGTTAGGTAGCATAATAACGAGACAAGATAGTACGAAGGTTAGCATCATAACAAGCCTCCAATAAACAGAATGACGAGTAAAGATAATAATAACTTTTAATCTAATATTGTTTAATTATTTATTTTGAGAAAGGAAAAAAAAGTGGGATTCAAAAGATCTAATCATTTTTCATAGGGAAAAACAGTGAGAATTTCATGTTCCCTCAGGATCCTTTGCTGCCGAGCAATGAAGGCCTCAACAGTGCGTCTAAATTCATCACTGCTCATTTCATCCTCAGCATAGGACGCATCCATCCGTTTCTTACTTTCCAAAACGAGTTTTCCGTTCTGATAGATCGGATTATGGCTATGATTTACACTTTTCCGGCATGTTCCTGTCGTTGATTGCTTCAATTCATGGCGGTGAGGCTCCTCTTGGTGCATCCTTTCCAGGTTCTCTGGGTGAAACTTTTGGATCTTCCTTTCCCTGGAAAGAGAGGTGACTTTTCTCCCTTCATGAGTGCTGCTGATTTGCTGTTTCTGCTGATTCTTTCTGCAATTTTTCATATATTCGTCGTAAAAATCAACCTTGTTACTGTTTTTGTCACCATCCTTGGGTGTAAACTGTCCAGATTGCATCAAAAGAACGACGAGTATCACATTCCCAAGGACGAAAACAAACCGGGGACTAATCAAGGTTACATAAAGACCCTGGAAAAACTCACTAGGAACCTTAAAAACAAAAGGCAACTGAGTGGAAAACCTGGTAAGAATGACAAAAAATATACCGAGTTCTATGAACCTTAACATGGCTGAGATCTTTTCAAGCCTGCGATATTTCCGAATCGCATTGGCCTTCTCAACTTTAATATTATTATGAAAACTGCATGAATCCATAACGCTTAATTGGATTTCTTTGAGTTTTTCTCTCTGAGTTTACTTGAAATTGGTGGGGTGGGTTTTCACTCAGAAGAGGATTTTTTTGGGGGTTAAAAGATTGGCTCTTGAACCCTCAGTTTGAACACTGAAAAGAGGCATATTACATGGATCATAATGTAAGAAAAGGAAATTTAGAGAGAGAGAGAGATTGAGAAATAGTATGGAATCCTTTGGAATGGAAATACCTTGTGGCTGTTACTGCATTTATAGAGTTACAAGAAATATAGACTCTTCATTCTTTATTCTTTTTTACTACTAAAGAGGAGTTGTGGTGATTTCAAAATCAGTGAAAGTTTGGAAAAGTGGGGTCTATCATACTATTTCCATCAGCAATGGATTCAATCAATGGATTCCCCTTGCCTCTTGGATTCGCTGGACAAGTGGAAGACATTGAAAGGGGCTTCACATTGCTTTCAAAGCTTTGAGGTTGCTTAGTAAAGCTTCGCCACTACCGTAACCTGTGGAAATAGCTTAATGGTAGAGCATAGCCTTGCAACGTTGAGGTGGAGTGTTCTTGAACTCCCTCCGTCGGCTCTTGGCTTCGTCATTTAGTGGCAACGAGTTTTGTACATAAGTCCCATTCGAGATAGGGGCGAGCAGCAAGCTAGCCCCCGTAGGGTTTCGAATCCATTTTAGTAATAAGAAGAAAGGGGCAAGCCAAAACCTTGGTATAACCACAAATCCAGTTTTGATTTTGATGCCACCAGCTGTTGATTAAACAGATGGACTTTCAATAAATTTTTAGTTTTTTTTTTATTTTCTTCAATTTAGTGCTATTGAAATCATTTTTCTAGACAATTTATTGTAGATGGTGTGATGGATTATTGTCCGCATTAATTATATCCGTAATAATAATTATGTACTGATAATGCTAGTGAAAATTACACGAACATACCTCTGAGATTAAAGATAATTTTAGAGGCATCATCTTCTTTTCAAGAATTTAAAAAATTTCCCTCTAAGCATATTTTTTTTTTTCATTTTGTCCTTCTCTGTTATGTAATTTTATATGTTTGGTAAAATCCCTTAAGCGTACTAGATCGTTGACAAATAATAGGTATAGTGAGTTAAAAATATCGTCCCACAAGTAATAAATTTCAATTCAAATTTGTTAGTTATATATAGAATTTGAATTATTTAAACCGAAGAGTTTTTGATGTTGACTTTATGCTAAATTTCTAAGAAAGTGGTAAAAATTATTTTTATATCAAATTATGGATGATCGTATTAGATTTAAAGTCCACCTATTGTTAACTATTTTAGTTCTTGTAAAAATCGTATTGATGTGTTCTTGACATTTGATAAAGTCAATGTATTTAACTTTTTTTTTTCAAGGTAAATTAACTATATTCCAATCACGATCCGAATTATTATAGTACATTAAATTTTAGATTTTCTATGTGATTATATACGCGATAAATATTATTCCTAATATCTATTTCACACGTATTAGTTTTACCATGTCCTAAAGTTATTGTGACTCTCCAAAAACTATAACAAGTAACTAATTATCTAATTTGTGGTCAATCAATTAAATAATGCAAAGGGAATGCAAAATCAGTCCAAAAAATAATATTTACTTAACTACTAGTTAGAATAAATAAACAATATGTTCATCTTTATCTAATACAAATAATCTACATAAGCATGTTTCTAATGATAAAATAATAAGAAGAATGGAAAACTATCACCCATAATTTATAAATACAAGAAAGAGATGTCACTCTCTAATTATTATTCTTGATTATCTACCAAAGGCTTTGATATTCAAATTCTTGATTATTCTTGATTCAATTAACGTGCTAGATTTGTCCACCTCCTCAACTTATGATGAATTTATCTCTCGTTTTTGCATGATTTAATGATATGGAAGTGATTTTAGAGGTAAGAGAGAAATTCCTCAATGGCTGCCTATATCTTGGATCATATAAGGTGAAATAAGATTTTAAAAAATCCAAGTTAGGTTCCAAAAGATTTGCAAACAAATAAGAAAAGTTGTATTCGCACGCACATGATTATGTATTGGTCTTAACTTTTTTTCTCAATATCTGATTGAGATGATTCAAAATGATTTGAAAAACTAACTCAAAGGGTTACAATTCTTTTTGAAATAGAATTTCTCCACTTCGAACATTTGCTACGCAAACAATGGGTTTCAATCTCCAACTAAAAATCTGGAACATATTTTGTATAGTTGGATTAAATAAATTTTTTTTAAACGATCATGGTTAGATAATCTACCTTTGATCTCAAGATTAGAATTTATGTATTAAAACTATAAGTTGCTACAAAATCATGATGCTAAAATTAATTTCTGCTTATCCAATACAGAATCAACGTATATATGTAAAAATTCATGTTAAGTATCACAAATTCATAAAGTGAATCAAATCATGATTCCAAATAGTCAAATTCATTCTCTCTCGTGAAATTCACACTCCCATTTTTTTATTTTTTATTTTTATTTTTAACTATTTAACAAGGTGTGATCTAAAGTTGAGTTTAAATATTAATCCTCACCCTTCTCTAGTTTGGTTAGATCTTACTAATTGCAGTTCAACACATCAACAAATAAAGATTCTCTTTATTTTTTATTGCTTTAACCTCCCAAAAATCAACTAAACCAATACCACCTTGTCAAATGTCTAATCTTCTTAAATAAGTGTTTGGGGTTTAATCAAGACACATGGTGCGTCTTCTGTTCAAGCACCTGCTCTTTCACTTTTTTCTTTTTGTTTTAATGAAAAGAGTAAAAAATACAAAAATTGGAGAAAATCTACTGAATCAACCAATATAAAATATTTAAAGAATTTTCAACTAGTTTTACTAAATTATTAAAAATATTTATTTATGTTGATTTGTTAATTATTTGTCAATCTATTTGTTAAAAAAAATCATATTTAATAATTGTATAATTTTTCTAACAATGTTTATAATATATATTTTTTAACTAAATTAATTTTTCATCTAAGCGAAAAGCATGATAAACTATATCTTAAAATAAGAAAATGTAATAATATATCAATTTTAAAATAGCATGGAAAGGTAAAATGGGATATATAATTACTTTTAGATTATAGGAGCAATCTGTTACAAAAAGTACGTTAATGAAGGTTTCTCGAATTTTTGAAAAGTGAAGAAATGTATCTGTAATTGTCATAAATTTTAGGGAGGTTTCTGTAATTTGATCGTAATACTATGTGGTCATAAGAAAGTGGGACCTACCATTTCTTATTTGTAGAGGCAAAAATCCCGGTTTTGATGTTGATATCACGAGCTTCTGGTTAAGGAACATCTCAACTTCAATTATTTGATCACTTTAGAGAATTTATTTTAGAATAACAAAACTTATACATAAGCAGTTACGTAAAAATTTACAAACAAATAAAGTGTCAAAAAGAGAATGAGAAAGTATTTTTCTTTTATTTGGTTGAAGAAATTTAGGGCTTGTTTGGGAGCGATTTTTTTATCCAAAAAATTGATTTTTTGACCGTTAGTTCACTATTCCAGTCGTCATATTTGAATTCTTCTCTCACAGATAGACCCCACTTTTCTCTTAACGGTCAAAAAATCAATTCTCAAAATCACTCCCAAACAGGCTCTTAGATCCAATCGTATTTCACCATATCGAGTATATGTAAACCAATTATGCACATGCAATACAATCATTAATTTACTGGCGGTGAAAACAAACGTCCTTAATTACACACTAACAAGTGGGGGAAAATGATTTTCTAGACAATATTATACAAAAAAATAATAATAATAATAATAAATAAATAAATAAATAAAGTAGGGTTCACCATTTCTTATGGGAGAGCCACACATCAAGTTTTGATGTTAATGGCACGTCAACTTCAATCATTTGATTAATTGATGAAATCAAATTAAATAGTCTCTATAAGAAAAAATACTTTTAACGAAGAAAATATTCCTTTAAAAGAAATAAGAGTACACAAGGTTAAGTGGGGGTAACATCAATTGATGATAAATTAAAGCAGATAAAATAATTAAGAGTATTGGATTGTCTTATGTGGCGAAAATAATTCTTGCAACTGAAGTTTTAATTTATCTGAAACTAGACGTATTTTATTTTTATATTTAGAGCATTCGGGAAAAATTAAAAGTGTGTTCGATTGATTTTATTTTTTTTTTTTTTGTAAAATATCATTTTTCATTCAATTTCCTATTTTTTGAAGTGTTTGATTAATATTTTTTTCCATGAAAAATATTTTTTTCGAAAGTTAATCACGTGATCATATTTTCCTAAAAAATAAGAGTACACAAGGTTAAGTGGGGGTAACATCAATTGATGATAAATTAAAGCAGATAAAATAATTAAGAGTATTGGATTGTCTTATGTGGCGAAAATAATTCTTGCAACTGAAGTTTTAATTTATCTGAAACTAGACGTATTTTATTTTTATATTTAGAGCATTCGGGAAAAATTAAAAGTGTGTTCGATTGATTTTATTTTTTTTTTTTTATGTAAAATATCATTTTTCATTCAATTTCCTATTTTTTGAAGTGTTTGATTAATATTTTTTTCCATGAAAAATATTTTTTTCGAAAGTTAATCACGTGATCATATTTTCCTAAAAAATAAGGAAAATATTTTCTTTAGGTAGGGGTATGTTTTTATAATACTATTCTAAAATGAAGTTAATAATACATAAAT